TTTGTCTTTTTATGCTTCTGGATTTGATAGCTCCTAGAGATTCTAGAACTGTAAGAAGAAGATAAGGACCATCTCGGGAGCCTTATTAATATGTGCATAAATATGACTTGCTTAGTACCTCCATTGCGGTTTCTTTGAAAGTTAAAACAAGTCAATCCACTGATCAGATCGAAGAATTTTATTTATCCTCATTTTCACAGTCAATAGCGTTTATAGATCCTGAGGAGTAGAAATTAGCAGACACAGTTTGCTTCTGAGTCTGCCCTACACCTGTGAATACGAAAAGATGCGCCTTCTCTTTGCATGGATTTTTTTTTTAAAGCACCATAGATGAACCGGTTCTGTAAGATGTGCTGTTAAGTTTGTATATTGCTACAAAGTTATTTGACTACATTTTAGAGGATGGATCCATGTTAAAAAAAAAACAGCAAATGAAAAGTCGATTTTTTTCCAGCAGAAACATTGGGAGTTCTCATTTCTACTGACACTACTTATCTTGATTCTTTCCAAATTTTTGTAAAGACGTCATAGAAAATATAACAGCTCATAAGGCAAAGATAACATTGTAGAATCGCAAATAGAGCCCACCTCAGCTGAGAGTTAAGGATTGAGAATCCTTCAGAGAATTTTAAACAAGAAGCCTGGCTAGGAAGTCACGTGTCTGTTTAATCTGCCCCCCATGCGTGGCATGGTACGAGGAGCACACACAGGGAATCAGAGCCCCACACAAGGTTAATAAAAATGCACTCTGATTTGATGCAATGATTTCTGATTTCTGAACTATTCTTCTATAAAGAAATTTAAAGTGACTGAGAATATGGGGGATTATCTGCTGGAATGCACTCTGAAGCTAGAAAAAGAAAAGCAGGGAAATATTTGTGAGTTCAAAAAGCTTTTTGACATCTGCTGTTTTATCTTTTTTTTTTAAAGATAGTGCAGAAAATGTGGTATTTCTTTCCATCTGATTGCAGTCTGCACAAAGCCACAGCCCTGGGCCCAGCACCCAGTAGGCCTGCAGCAGGTGCTGGAGAAATGAGTCTGAAGGATTGTAATATGACTCAGGACCACGTTTGTACTTGTACTTTTTCCTCTTTTATTTTCATATGTTAAGTACCCGCTCCCCCTCACCCCCCCTTTTTTTGGGGACGGAGTGACTTTTATTCTAAACAAAGACTTGGTAGATGAAGGGGTGGGGTGGGGGTGTGTGTGCGCGCGCCGTGACCTTCTCTGAAGAGTACTGGGTCCCCTGTCTGCCTGGGGTTCTGAGGAAAGGGTAGGGACAGGGCTGTGTCCCGGGCTCCCCATCTCCTCCCGCCCCGCCCGCCTGTTGTCTGGGCATCCGGAGAGTGGGGAAACATTAGTGTGGGCCAGCTGCCTAAGCCGGGCGGGGTCGAGGGAGAGGTCAAGGTCGGCGGAGAAGCGGCTATTGATCCGGCTTGGAACGCGAGACAGGGAGCGCAGCAAGACTAAAGGGGGAGCTGTGAGACCAGACATTAACAGCTTCCACCGCTAATGATGCCCGTGCCAGACGGGCAGAGGGAAAAAAAGGAGACTGGAGCGGCAGCTGGGATCGCTTGCTGCCTGCGCCCGGCCGCCTTTCGGGAGAGAGGAGGAGGAGGAGGGCCAAGGGGCCAGCGCGGGCTGGGCAGGGGCAGGGCAGCCTCTCCCGGGCCGCCGCGAGGTGGAGCGCGCCGGCCGGCGGCGGCGTGTCCGGCCCTGCGCCGGCCCGCCCGCGCGTCCCTCTTCCCGCCGTCGGGGCAGCGCGGGGCCAATGAGGAAGTGCTCCCCGGGTCAGTCGCGGCCCGCGCCGCCCCCTGCCCGCTACTTCCTGCTGGGGGTGGGGCGGGGTGCCCCCTCCCCAGACTCCGCCGCCCGAGCGCGCGGGGGGCGGCAGCTGCAGCCGGGGCCCCTGGGCGCCCCGCGCAGTCCGCGGAGGGCCCCCTTTCTTGAAGGAGGCTGCCGCGTTCCCCGCAGCCACAGACCCGGTCCCCCTTCCTTGTTATCATCGCCCCGAGGGCGAGTGTCGCGTGTCGGGATTTCGGGTGCCGGAGCGCAGGCGGCGCGGGGCAGCAGGCACGCGGCGGCGATTGGAGTCCAGACTTGCCCCTTGCGCTGTGTAACCTTGGGCAAAACGCTAACCTTCTCTGGACTTCACACGGCCAGTTCTCAGAAAGAGACCTAACAGCTCTTCCAAATTTAAGAATCTGGGCGAGTTGGGATGACCGGTTTATGGTTTTCTTAAGAAGTTTATGAAAGGTGCGTGTGGGCATTTTTTCTTACTTAGGCCACTTTCCTGGAAAGATTTTCGCGGTGGGGCTAGATGAGAGGAGAGGGAGGCGCTTCTAGACTTTGGACCACGTGGAGGTGGAGTGTGGGTTAGGAGTAGTGGGCAGCGGCGTGCAGTGGTGGGGAGGGGGAGTGCCGACTTGCCCCCGCCCCTTCCACCGCCCAGTCTCCACCCGCTTGGCCGCCGACCCTGCAGCCCAGTCCGCAAAACTGCATGCTGGGGCACATTTTATTGTTATTATTTTTGGGGGGGTGGTTTAGGCAGGGAGCTCTTTCTGGCCTCGCTAATGGGCGCTGCGCTCTGTTAAGTTGCTGGTACGGTGACCCCACCCGAGACCTTGGGGGCGAACAAAAACCCCATGTGCCCCCCAAGGAAAAGGCCCCGAGGGAGGCGGCGAGCCCGGAGGCGTCTCGGCCTAACCAGTCGCTCGGGTGAAGCCGCCGGAGCCGGGCCTGGGGGCAGGGTGGGATGGGTGCAGCTGGGCTCGCCCGCGAAGCCCAGCCCTGAGCCAGGCCCCGACCCGCCCTGGCCGCTTCCCGGCCCAGACCAGGAAACCCTGAGAAGGGAGAAAGGTCCAACCGCGTGGCGCGTCCAGCCCGGGAGGTCAGGTCATCAAACAGACGAGTTGGCCACGGCCTGAGGAGGGACGGGGCTGGGGGCGGCGGAGTGTCCATGCAGACCGCGGCCTGGCCTTGTCCGCGGGCCACGGACAGGCCCCCACAACTCCTCTTGTCCTCTCCGGCTGGAGATCAAACGGCTGACAAGGCAGCTGTGTCCTTCCCAGTCTGACCGGAGATTTCAAGTCCTGCCCTGGGCGGAGGAGCACTGGGGGTGGGGGCGTCACTTTCAGGTTGCAATAATTGTCAGTGAGTGGGAGGGAACTGGGGGATCTGAGGGGGTAATCCACAGGAGTGTCTTCAGAGTACCGGCCCCGCCTACTTCTGGGTCAGCGCGGACAAGTCCCTCTCCCACGTGGAGCACCCCTGCCCCCTTAGCCCCCACTTCCTGCTGACTCTGGCGTTAGGGGGTGGGGCCCGGATTTGACCCCCAGGAGTTAATGGGGTGAAGTGGAGAGAGCTCACAGATTCCGGTGAGCATTCCTTCCGGAATGGGACTCAAACAAGGTCTCATGTCCCCCTCCCCCAAATGTGCTCTTAATTCTCTCCTCTGTATATCTTTTATTTTGTCCACTTCGCTCTCCCAGAGTTTGTAATATCAGGATTTATATGGAGGTACTTTTTGGAAGTTTAACCCCGACCCCCGAATAAAACAAAAGTAAAAACAACCAAGCTACTTTTCCAGGGAGATGAAGCGACTGACCATGTCCCCCATGTCGACTCCAACCCTCCTCAACGCCGGCTCCCCCCCCCCCCACGTCCAAAAGAGCTTTCGATGGGTGGGTGGGGACTTGCGTTAATTCAACTTACTTCCACGCACACAGCACTCCGCCCCCCTTCTCAGGGGGTCCTACTCCCAGGAGGGGAGGAGGGATGAAGAGGGTTTTCTTTTATTTAAAAATATCCTGCCCACCGTCTCCCCCCTCTTTGCGCTGCCAGTGCACGGGGAGAAGAGGAGCGCACAAAAACGCTGTTTGCACGTGTGGCCGGCCTGGACTGCGGGTGTGCGCACGGGCGAGTGTGTGTGTGTGTGTATGTGTGTGCGCGCGCGCGCGAGTGTGGCCCTGTGTGTGTGTGTGTGTGTGTGCTTTCTTGTTCTCTTACAGGGTACAATGTTAAAAAGCCACCGCTAGTCGCCCCCAGTGCTCCGACTCTCTGGGTCTTTTTGTCTCTAGTGCAGATTAAACGTCACGTCCGCACTTGAACTTGAATTTTATCCCATTGTACAGAGGCAGCCCCAGCCATAGAGAGACCGAGAGCTCCCAGAGAACCCGGACTCCGCCATCTTCACGTTGCAATCTATAGCTCCCAGTCCGCGCCCGCACCGACCCAGGCGCACTGGGCGAGCCGCCCCTCAGCCCAGCTCCCCCCGGGCCCGCGGCGCCAGGGGAGCGCTGGGGAGCGCTCGCGGGGACCCGGCAGCCTCTCCGGCCGGCGCCAGCCTGCCAGGTGAACTGGGAAGGAGCCGCTCCTGGAGTCAGTCCCCCAGAGCCTCGGAAGGGTCAGTCTCCGAGAAAAAAAACAGGCAGCCCGCAGAAAACCCAGAAACCACCGAACCGGGGCAGCTTTACATTGCTGTGGGTTTTTTGAGGGGGCGGGGTGAGGGGGTACGAGACAAGTCCTCAAGTTTTCTTTTTTTCCTTTTCTTTTTCTTCTTTTCTTTTTTATTTGTTTGCATTTTTTTCCTTTTCCCCCCTCCTGGTAGAAGTGCGCTTTCCACCTACCAGACCCTGAAAGAAAGTCTCAGGAGCCGGTGCAAAATCCGGTTTAAGTTCAAGAAGACATTTGGAAGTCTAGGAGGCCAAGCAGTTTGAAGAAGTGTAAGCGATTTTTTTTCCTTCAGAAGAATATATTTTTAAAGAAACCGGCCACTCCGCGGCAAGCAACAGCATTTTTTTTTTTGCCTCTTTCTCCTATTTTAGATCGAGAGGTTTTTCTTTTCTTTTTTGTCTTCTGTTTTTCTTTTTGCAAACAAAACAAAAAACAGCATAGAAGGAAGAGCAAAATAAAGAAGAAGAGGAGAAGGAAGAGAGGGCAAGAGAGGAAGGGAAAAAAAAACCAAAACACCAACCCGGGCAGAGGAGGAGGCGCGGCGGCGGCGGCAGCGGCAGCGGCAGCGGCGCGGCGGCGGCTGGACCCCCTCCCCCGGTTCCCCCCATCAGTGCAGCTCTCCGGGCGATGCCAGAATAGATGCCGGGGCAATGTCCCGCCGCAAACAGGGCAACCCGCAGCACTTGTCCCAGAGGGAGCTCATCACCCGTAAGTGTCTGCGGCGTGCGCGCGAGGGGCCGGAGGATGGGGCTCCGGGCGCCCGGGGCTGGGGACGCCGAGCCAGGCGCAACCCGGCCGGGCGCCGAGGCTGCCCGCGGGCTCGCAGAGGCAGCGGCGTCGGCCCAGAGCATGGTGGGGGGCGGAGGGCCATAGGAAAGTTTCTTTGCAGCCCGAGGAGTCGGGGTGCTGCGCAGTCAGACGCGCCTCGGGCTCGGGGGCCTGCGGAGCGGGCTCCCGGCCGGGGAGGGGGCGCGCAGGCTGGAGGAGGTGTGTGTGTGCGCGCGGAGCCCGGCTGGACGCTCGCCCCTCCGAGCGGCGTGTGTGGCGGCGGCGGCGCTGGTGGCGGGGTTTGGAGAGGAGGGGGAGGGGGCTGGGGGAGCGGAGGGGGAGGGGGGAGCCGGGAAGTGGGGAAAAGTTGGCGAGCGCGTGGGTCCGCGCTGACGGCGCGGGCGGAGGAGAGCGGGGTGCGCTCAGGGCTGGGGGAGATGCGGGGCGAGGGGCGGCCGCCGGCTTCGAGTACCCGGTCGCTGCACCCGGCCGGGCAGGGCGCCGGCCACGCCGGTCCTGGGATTCCGCAGCCGCCTTTCTCTCCCTTCCTCTTGCTATTTGCAAAAGAATCCAGCTGCGCGGCTGCTTGCCGGGCTCTTGCTCCCCCCCCCCCCATTTCCCCACCTCCGACTGTCTCCTGGGATGATCTTGTCTTCTTTCCCCCACTCCAAAAAAAGGTGGGGGGATTGGGGGCTGGTGAAAAATCCCCGCCACGGGGGAAAAAAAAAGGTTGTCAGCTAGAAGTGCCGAGAGGGATGTGCTTGTAAAATAGTGGGGGAAAAAAAAAAAAGAAAGAGAAGAAAAAAGGAGAGAGTCCTATCAATCTCTTACCCATCTTTCTATCTCGGTATCTTTCATCTCTATCTAAATAAACAAGGCAGGTCGCAGTGGAAATCCACCGGCTGAAATCGTGTGGATTTCAAGCAAGTGGCAGGGCGGGCAAAGTCAGGCAGCGGGGCAGAGACGCAGCAGCTTCCAGCGCCCCGGTTGGGTTTATGTAGAAAAGGGAAGAGCGAGCGCGAGCGGGCCAGGTACGGTGTTTGCAGGGGAGCTCGCCCTGGGTGCCCGCACAGTTGCCGGGGAAGGTCGGCTCCCAGCGCTCCCCGCCCGCAGCCCGGGGCCGCTGCTTCGCGGCGCGCGAACCTTTCCCCGCGGTCCTTTCTCTCGCGGTGCCTGGGTCGCTCTTGCTTTTTCCTCCTTTTTATTGCAATAGAAATAAAACATCCTCTGGGTGCCATCGAGACTGCGGGCAGGTTGTGTTCCTGCGGTCCTCCGAGCACCTCGTCGGGCTGGGGCCGGGCTGCCCGCGCGGGGCTGGAGAGGGTTGCGCGCCCGGCCGCCGCCGAGGACTGGCTGCGGGGCGGCCGAGAGCCGAATATTTATGTTATATTTTTAAAAATTTAAATAAATAAATAAATATATAAAGGGGTTCTCCCCTCCCCTGAAAACCCAGCATAGGAGCCATCTGCTCGGAGCATTTGCTGCTGCCATCTCTTTGTTACCGCAGACACATTAGTAAGAATTTGTGGATTTATTATTATTTTTTGGGGGAGTGGAATAGATATGAAAGTGGGGTTCGCCTTGGGAGAGGGATGCCTTTTTGGGGGCAGGGAAGAGGACTTCTTATTTTTCACCATTGTAACATCAAGAAAGACTCGCTGGTTGCATTTAAAATAAAATGTTTTGCAACCAGCTTTGAGCCTGGGTTGATCAAGGTCCTTTTTGCCAGTTGACATTTTGTCCTTTACCAAGCCATAGGAATTGCTTATCCTACATCCCACCCACCCCCCTTTAGGTGATGGAGTGGTGGTTTGAAGGTCTATACTTGGAGACACCTAATTTCTTCAGGAGGCAATTTGCCCCACATAGCCTCTGTATAATTGCAAGGGTTATTTTTGAGGAGGGGGGATGTTGGGGGGGGGAGTTGTCCGGGGTGCGTTGCCAAGCTGGCAGCAGCGACAGGAGCCAGGAGTGTTTGCAGTTGTGTGTAAGGGGAAAGATGCAGGTAGGTTTGCTTTCTTAGGCTCTCTCCTCTTCTGGCATTCCTGGGGCATCAGGAGAAAGCCCTGGCCAGAAGGACTGGTGGCAGCTGGGTGTGGGGGGCGAGGGGTGCCTGATGCGACATCCTTCCATCCTTCATTTGTTCCACATCTCTCAGCCTTGCTCGAGCGGTGCTGGGGAAAGCCGGCTGACGCTGGAGCAGTGGCGGGGAGGGAAGAGAGAGGCAAAGGAGAAGAGAGGTGGAGAGAAGGAGCCAAGGGGACAGAGGATATCCCACCTGCCTTTCAGGGGCACCCGGAGCCCAGAGCATGTGCAGGGGTTTCAACAGGGAGAGTGGTCCAACCAGTTTCAGCCAAGGCTATTTATTATCAAAAAGCAGCTGGCTTTTCTGTCTGTCCCATGTCACCCGGAGGTGGGAGTGCAGGCAGAGGAAAGGCAGGAACTGGATGCAATTTAGGCTGCATGGCCTGTGGAAGTGCCTCTTTGCAGGGATGCAGGACTCATGGGTTTAGGGTGCTTTGGAGCCCTGGCCAGCAAAATGGGTGCTGTCACAGCCCTGACCCGGGGTTCACATTTTAGATTTTAAATGTGAAAGGAACCACCTAAAACGTGCGTCTTCAGTTGGGTGGCAGCTCGCCGGCCTGTGGAGTAGCAGCCTCTGGTTCTTTAGGGCTGATGCAACTTAGGATAACTGATGGTCTGGGAAACTCAAAGAGCACACAAATAGCATCGATAATCTTGGTGGTGGTGGTGGTCGGGGGGTTGGAGAAGGGCTCCATAAGGGGCTAGTTAAATTTACTGACAGAGTCAGCGAGAAGAGGACTGAGGTACCAAAGGGAGTCTGGGAGACAGCTGTGGATGAAAACCTGGGCTTCTGGTTTGTTTCAAAATGTTTGACCCAGATGGAAGTGGCTTCTAAAACCGGAGGACAGACACAGCTATTAATAAACACAAACACAAAACAACACAGTGACAATAGAGAGGAGGAAGAGGGGCCGGGACTGACCAGGCAGAGGGAAGGGCCGTGAGTCGGCTGTGCCAGGCGGGGTGAGTGAGGAGGGAGATGAACTCCAGTCCACCAAGGAGCTCTGAGGCTCTCCGAAGAAAATAAGATGTCCATGGTAAATTACACAACCCCAATGAAGGTGATTTTTCAACAACTGACCAACAGGTTTCCTTGGAAGATCAGTAATTTTCCGTGTGAATTCATGATTTTGCAAAACAACTAGAGACCCAAGATTTGACGCGGAAGTTAGCCTGTGTTAATTCCATGGTTGCCTTTTAAATTAGGTTTTGCTGTCGCTGTGTGTTTTGAAGGTGGCTGTGCTCACAATTATCTTAACTCCCCAGGGTATTGTACATCTCCAGTTGTCCAGGTATCTTTCAAAATTGGGCCTCTGATAAATTTCATAAGATGTGGGCCCCTCTTTTTTTTTTTTTGGTAGTTGGTGGGGGGAAGTTTGTCTCCCTTCTGCACAGAAGGGAACCCCATATCATTAGAAGTGTGATATAAGTCAGCTGCTCTGATTCCACGGGAGAATAAAAATGTGTTCATCAAAGGTGTTATGCCAGGCTGATTTTATTCATTTGTAATTCACACCTGAGAGAAAACAGCCGTGAGCATATTTTAACAACCCCTAATATTTTTAAAGGCTATTCCTCCCCTCCCTGAATATTATGTACATATGCATATTTCTTTTTTTGAGGTGGGGGAGGTTGCTATCTGCCTGTGCTTTGGCCTTCGCAGGTTTTGGCCTTCAAAGTATTTTGTAACTGAAAACGAGTCATTTCTCAAATGCTGGGGTGCATGCCGTTGCTTTGGTAAAGCTGGCCTTAGGAACAGGGACTGAGGCTGAGGTCAGGTTGGATGTGACTCTTTGCTGACCACTGAAGGACTAAATGGGTCTTATTGATGGAAGAGAAGGCCACGTTTGGGTGCATTTGACAATAATTAGCATTATGTCTCAGGTGAGATGGAAGCACGCGGAACAGCCCCTTTACAGATATCAGTTTCCATCCGACTGTCGAATGCACCAGTTTCTAGCTCCTTATCAGAATCCAGCTCTTGGCACTATCTCTTAGCTTAGAATACGGCTTGCACCAGCCTTTCCTTTTTCCTTTTCATCTCCTTTCTTGATTGCTTTGCATTCTCTGTTGCTTGTTGTGATAAAATACTTTCCAAAATAAACTTTCAGTTGAATTGGCTTTTGGTGGATGGCAAGGCTGAAGCGCCGAGCCGTGCCTGGCGCCGCTTGGCAGCTAGGGGGAGCCCAGTGTCTGTGTCATGGCTTGGCGCCTTCGCTACGATGGGCCAGGAGCGTCTTCCATCAGCCGCCGCAGCAGTTTACGTTGCTGCAAAATGTCTTAAGTGTGAAGTTGTAATATTGATTTTCCTGCAGAGATTCGAGCGGGGCAAAATGAGAATATAAGTTTGCGAAATCTATTTTCAAGCTATCGGCATTGATTTACGAGCCCTCGTTAGGCAGAGAGGGGCATTTTTCTTTTTCTTTTTTTTTTTTCCTTTTTAAACAATTAAAATCATTAGTTTTGAATGGAAGTGTTTCCCCCCATTAGTCTGTGGTCTTGACTTTTTGAAAATTCCGTTGGGCTGTTAAGGCATTCGTGATGAGGCGAGAGGGTCTGGGAAGAGTGTCCATCAATTTGGCCGTTTCTGTGCTGCCTGTCACAGACCCAGGGAACAGCTGAGAATAGCTGCATTTGGGAGTACCTAAAACAGCTTGATGAATGGAAATCCTTTTAGCTCAGATTTTATAACACTTGGATTCTCAATTCCATTTGTTAGGTAATGTTCCCACTGTACTAAGGGAAATAGCACCATTCCCCAAAGATATAAAATGCCAACTCAAATAACATGTAAAACTTTGTTTGGAAGGAGTACATGATTGTGAGACCCAGCGTGGCTAATACCCTTCACCCCA